TGTTCTCTAGATTCTGATGAACATCTTGAGGATTCTGCACAGAGCGCCGTGGAGGAGAATATGAGATCAGAACTTGTAAGACATATTTCTTTCTCTGGAAGAGAAATTTATTTTATTTTCTGGGGTCACTGGGGAGTTATGATAACTGAGGCTGATTGGCCGATGGCAGTCAAAGGATGGCATCACTTACAAACTGTTTGGTAGTGCGTGTATCTCTCAGTAGCAACCTTTTCTCCCTGAAAAATAGTTTTTGTATTTTATGTGTAACATGAACACTTGCTAAATATTCCCCAAATAAAACTCACTGCATTTTCCACAAGCATCCTCTATGCTTTCTTTCGGGGCCAGTTACCTGATACTGTTTTGCTTTTTCTCTTATTGCAGAAAATCCAAGGCATGATGTCACCTCTGTCACAGTATTCTTTTTTTTAACAGCTTTATTTAAACGTAGTTGACATGCAAAACAATGTACCCATTTAAAGTAGGTGATTCAGTGTTTTTAGATCTATAACATTCCCCATCTCAGAATAGGGAACTGAGGCACAGAGAGGTTCATTTCACTCTCCCAGGTATGTTACGTTCGTAGCATTTGATCCTAGGCCATTCTTGGTGACTTAGATATGCTGCTTTTCTAATGTCTCATCTAAATAAAGTGTCTGCCTGCACAAACAGTCATTTAGTACAATAGACACTTGCAAAAAATCCTCCCGATTTAAATGTAATTCAGGTAAAGTCGAAAAGCTGATGGTAAAAACTTCAGGATCAAAAAGTTTCATCTGGGAATAAGCTTTTACTAATTTCTCTGCTGTCCTCTGCCAGCAACAATGTCAAGCACTGTCTTTATTATAATACATTTCTAAGAATCTGTAAGAACTCTGCTCAACCTTTGAGTTTGGCCCCTGCTAGCGCTGGACAACAAAACTATGGGAGACAGGAACAAAAATTTGGCCCTGTAGGAAATAAAGGTAATCATGGAAATTAAATCATTAAGTTCACTTAAGCAATAATTCCAGTTCATTCATTCAGTGCCCCATGTTGAAACTCGACAAATGCTGTGTCATGTTCTTCATTTATTTCATTTATTGCCAGTGATGCATTAAATCAATGATGGGTGATACAAACACACAAGTAAAGAATGCTTACTGACCACTTAGAGTTCAGGTCTTTTTTTGATATTTATTTTTTTGTGAAAAGGTCTCCTTTGTCGCCCAGGAGTGCACTGGTGCGATCGCAGCTCACTGCGATCTTGACTTCCCCAGGTTCAGGTGATCCTTCCACCTCAGCCTCCCAGCCAGCTGGCCATAAGTCACATGCCACTAGACCAAGTTAATTATTATTATTATTATTATTATTATTATTGTAGGGAAAGGGATTTCACCATTCTGCAGGCTGAGTTCACTTTTGATAATAAAGGATATCTCAAATACTTACACACATTGCTTTCAGTTTAGTCCAATTATGAATACAGCTATTAGAAACCTTCTTGTGTCTTGTTTGGAAACATAATTTTTAAAATGTTACTGAGGAAATATTCAGTTATGATTACTTGCTTGTATGGTAAGACTATAATTTTCTTTGTTTTTGGTAGAATTTACAAGAACAAATCATCTGAATATAGTGTTTTAGTTTTTTGAAAAGATATTAATCATTGATTGAATATCTAAAATTCTAAAATAATTATAGACCTATTCAGATGATCTATTTCTCCTGAGGAGACTTTTGGTCTTCTAAAATAGATTTTATAAATTCGTTCATTTCATCTACTGTATCCAATTGTGAGCACAGATGTGTTCAGAATATTCCTTTTGTATTTACTATTTTTTGATTTGACTCCTCTTAAACTAATATTATTAGTATACTGTGACTTCTTTCTTTCCTTTGTGGGTAGTCAAGGTAGACGTTTATCAATGTTACTGATCTTTTCAAAGAACCGGCTTTCGTTTTGTTGATATTTTCTGGACTTCCTGTTTTCTATTCTATTGTATTCTGCCATCATTATTTATTATCATCTGTTCTATGTTACTGTTTTCTCTCATTGCCCAAGGTGAAGCTTAGATTACAATTAAGATTTTTCTGATTATTGACAACATCCTGAATGTAACTCATGGAGATGTAATCTCTCATTAAAATGCACATATATAATTAAAATGATAAAGATATGTGCTTTACTGCAACTTGAAAAATACAAGCAGGTAGATGATAAACATGGTGGCAGGGTATGGCAGATCCACAGAAGTGAAATGATCTTGTAACATTTCATAGCTGAGAGGTTGCCTGGACCTTTAAATGGGGAGGGTGTGATGGTCTGTGCTGAACATACAGTGCCTTTCTGTATTAACCGGTTCTTAAGGTGACTATTTCACATTGATGAGGTTGCCTAGCTGTGAACGGCCAAGGCTCTTTCAATTCTTTCTGCCCCTCTCCTTTGCCTGCCTTCGACACCAGAGAAATGGTCAGAAAGCATCTCAGCCCATGCTTGTCAACCGCCCACTTGCATACACTCCATACACCCCAGGGGTTCCTTGTGGGATTCCTCATGCCACCAATGCACTGGCCATCATCTGTTCACCTAGATTCCGATGAAGATCTGCAGGAATCTGCTCAGGAAATTAGCGTGGAGGAAGAATATGAATCAGAACTTGTAAGACATATTTCTTTCTCTGGAAGAAAAATGTTTTGTTTTTCTGGGAGTCACTAGGGGTGCACTGACCAACTGAGGCCCTGATTGACGATGGCAGTGATCAAGGGCGGCGATCACTTACAAACTGTTTGGTAGTGAGTGTATTTCTCAGTAACCTTTTCTCCCTGAAAATAATATTGTATTTGCCAGCCAACATGGACCCTTGCCTAAATATTCCCCAAACCAGTGCATTTTCACAAGCATCCTCTGGTATTTCTTTTTCAAGGACCAGTTACCTGATCACTGTTTGTTTTGTTTTTTCTCTTATTGCAGAAAAGTCAAACACCCAAAATGTCACACTCTGTCGTATTATTTTTTTTTATTTAACAGCTTTATTGAAAGGCCGATTGACATGCAAACCATGTACCCATTTAAAGTAGGTGATTCAGCGTTTTTAGATCTACTAACATTCCCCCATCTCAGAATAGAGAACTGAGGCACAGAGGGGTTCATTTCACTCTCCCAGGCTGTGTGCAGATTCACAAGCCTTTGATCCCAGGCCATTCTTGGTGACTTGGATCTGCTGCTTTTCTATATTGTCTCATCTTAATAAAGGAATCTGCCTGCACATACAGTCTGTTTCGTGCAATGACCTTACAAAAAATCCTCCCAGAACCCAAATCTAATGTAGAGTTGAAAAGCCGGCGGTAAAGCAGGATCAAAGTTTCATCTGGGAATTAAGTTTTACTAATTTCTCTGCTGTCCTCTGCCAACAGCAATGTCCAAGCACTGTCTTTATCTGCAATACATTTCTGAGAATCTGCCAGAAATCTGCTCTGCCTTTTGCAGTTTGTCCACCCGTCCCAAGCGCTGGACAACAAAACTATGGAAATGGAACAAACTTTGGCAGTTAGGAAATAAAGATAATGTGGAAATTAAATCATTAGAGTTCCTTAAGCAAATAATTCCAGTTTATTCATTCAGTGCCCCATATTAAGGCTTCGGTAAATGCTGTGTCATGTTCTTCATTTTATTTCATTTGTGCCAATTGATGCATGGAAATCAATAGTGGGTGATGCAAATACACAAGTAAAGTAACACCGGCCACATAGATTTCAGTTGTTTTTAGTATTTTATTTTTTGTGAAAAGTCTCCTTTGTCACCCAGGAGTGCACTGGGCGATCGCGCTCACTCGCGATCTTGACTTTAGTTCAGGTGATCCTTCCCACCTCAGCCTCCCAAGTAGCTGGCCATATGTCCTGCCACTAGACCAAGTTAATTATTATTATTCTTTATTGTAGAGAAGGGATTTCACCATTCTGCCCAGGCTGGGTTCACTTTTGATAGTAAAGGATATCTCAAATATTTAGACATTGCTTTCAGTTTGGTCAATTATGAATCACAGCTATTGAAACCTTCTATGTCTTGTTTGGAAACATAATTTTTAAAATGTTACTGAGGAAATACTTCGGATTATGATTACTTGCTTGTATGTAAGACTATAATTTTCTTTGTTTTTGGTAAAAATTTACCGTTAAATCATCTGAATATAGTGTTTTAGTTTTTTGAAAAGATATTAATCATTGATTGAATATCACAAAATTCTAAAACAATTATGAACCTATTCAGATGATCTATTTACTCCTGAGGAGACTTTTTATTCTTCTAAAATAGACTTTATAAAATTAGCTCATTCCATCTACTGTATCAGTTGTCAAGAGCACAGATGTGTTCAGAATATTCCTTTATTATTTACTATTTTTTGATTTGACTCCTCTTAAACTAATATTATTAGTATACTGTGACTTCTTTCTTTCCTTTGTGGGTAGCCAAGGTAGAGGTTTATCAATGTTACTGATCTTTTCAAAGAACCGGCTTTTGGTTTTGTTGATATTTTCTGGACTTCCTGTTCTCTATTCTGTTGTATTCTGTATCATAGTTTATTTATCATCTGTTCTATGTTACACAGCTGTTTTTCTCTCATTCACCCAAGGTGAAGCTTAGATTATGAATTAAAATTTTTCTCATTATTGACACAGCATCCTGAATGTAACTCATTGAATGTAATCTCATTAAAATGCACACTTCATAATTAAAATGGTAAAGATGTGTGCTTTACTACAACTTGAAAAAATACAACAGGTGGATAAGTAACATGGTGGCAGGGTATGTAGATCCACAGAAGTGAAATGATCTTGTAACATTTCATAAAACTGGGGATTTGCCTGGACAACCAAATGGGGAGGAGGTGTGATGAGATGCTGTCGCTGTAGACTACATACAGTGCCTTTCTGTATTAACCGGTTCTTAAGGTAGCTATTTCACATTGATGAGGTTGCCCTGGCTTCGGCAGGCTCTTTCAATTCTTTCTGCCCTCCAGAAAGCCAAGGCTCTTTCAATTCTTTCTGCCCCTCTCCTTTGCCTGACTTCGACACCAAGGAGAATGGTCCAGCAGCATCTCAGCCCATGCTTGTCCATCGCCCACCTTCAAACACTCTAGCCCCGGTGCACATCCCCAAAGGCTCCTTGTGGGATTCCTCAGCAGCAGCAATGCACTGACCGTCACTCTATGTTCTCCTAGGTCCTGTTGAAGATCTGTAGGAGTCTACACATGGCTGTGTGGAGAATATATCAGAACTTGTTAACATGTTCTTTCTCTGGAAGAGAATTTTTTTTTCCTGGGGATTCTAGAATATCAAGTGAATATCATGTTTGACTGCCATCATGAATCAGGCCTCAGTTGGTCATGGACTCTAGCGACTGGTCACAGGAGGTTATGACCAATGGAGGCCTGATTTACGATGGGAAAGGACGACACCACTTACAAACTGTCTGGTAGTGAGTATGTGTCTCAGTAGCAACCCTCTATCCTTGAAAAATAATTTTGTATTTGCCAGCCAACAAGGACACTTGCTAAATATTCCCAAAAAACCCAATGCATTTTTCACAAGCATCATCTATGCTTTATTTTGGGGACCAGTGACTTGATCAGTATGTGACCTTTGGTTTTTTATTTCACCAAGTGAATAAAAGGCCTTTACCAACAGAACCCAGCATCATCTGATCCTCATGGTGTTTCCTTTTTGTTTTTTTTTTTTTTCTTATTGCAGGAAACATCTACAGCCCAGTACCACCAACATACGCATTTTTTTAAAAAACAGCTTTATTTAGTAGTTGACATGCAAGACAATTCACCCATTTAAAGTAGGTGATTCAGCGTTTTTACTATATTTACAGGGTTTTGCAACCATTGTTACAATCTAATCTTAGAACCTCTTTATTCCCCCTCAAAGAAACCCCACCAGTAGTCACTCCTTGTTTTTCCCAACTCCCACACCCCTGGGTCTAGGCAGCCACGAATGTACTTCCTGTTTCTATAGTACAGTGCTTTTCTGTATTAAACTGTTCTTAAGGTGACTATTTCACATTGATGAGGTTGCCCTAGCTAGAAAGCCTAGGATCTTTCATTTCTTACTGCCCCTCTCTTTTGCCTGCCTTCGACACCAAGGAGAATGGTCCAGCAGCATCTCAGTCCATGCTTGTCAACCTCCCCCCTCCATACACTCCAGCCCTGACCCACAGCCCCCAAGTCTCCTTGCAGGATTCCTCAGTAGCACCAATGCACTGACTGTCACTCTATGTTCTCCTAGGTTCTGATGAAGACCTGGAGCAGGGTTCAGTTAAAAGTCTGGAGGAGATGATATCAGACATTGTAAGATGCATTTCTTTGCATCCCCCAAGGCTCCCAGTGGGATTCCTCAGCAGCACCAATGCACTGACTGTCACTCTCTGTTCTCCTAGATTTTGTAGAAGATCTTGGTGAGGGTCCATTTGGTGGTCTGGAGGACAAGATGTCATCCGACTTGGTAAGATGCATTTCTTTGTCTGGAAGCGAAATGTTTTTTCTGGGTCCTCTTGTCTTATTAATGAAATGAAGATATAAAAATCTGACCATGTACATTATAGAAGACAAATACAATTTTTTTTTGGGGGGGGGGAATATCAAGGGAATATCATATTTGATTGCCGTCGTCCATCAGGTCTTAATGGATCATGGACCCTAGCAACCAGTCACTGGAGTTTATGACCAATTGAGGCCAGTTGGATGATGGTAGTGAAAAATGAGAGCGTCACTTACAAACTGTCTGGTAGTGAGCATATTTCTCAGTAGCAACCTTTTCTTCTTGAAAAAATAATGTTGTATTTGCCAGCCAACATGGACTTGCTAAATATTCCATCTCGAACTCCTGACCTCAGGTGATCCACTCACTTTAGCCTCCCAAAATGCTGGGATTACAGGCGTGAGCCACCGCGCCCAACTCACCATAAGTATATTTTTTAAAAAAACAGCTTTCTTGAGACATAGTTGACATGCAAAATAATTCACCTATTTAATAAGGGTGATTTAGTGTTTTTATAATATTTACAGGATTGTGTAATCATTATTACAATCTAATTTTAGAATGTTTTCATTACCCCTTCAAAGAAACCCAACAGCCATTAGTAGTCAGTTCTTTCTTTTCCCCAACCCACACACCCGTGGCCCTAGGCAGCCACTCATCTACTTTATGTTTTTCTAGATTCGCCTACTCTGGCAATTTATTTTAAAATTCAATTTCTACTTTAAGTTCAGAGATACATGTACAGGATGTGCAGATTTAAAGATATTTTGCTTTCCTGATTTCTTCTCAATTAATTTTGATATGAAAATCTGACAATGCACATTATGCGCAACATATACAATTCTCTTTGTGGGAGTAAAATTCAGTGGGAGTGTCTTCCCAACTAACACGTGATACACTGGGAGGTTTTTAAAGGACAGCATCCATTATTGGCGTAATGTGGAGGCATTTTCTTCAACACGTTTTCCTCCTTGGGTTAAGCATTGTGTGTTTGCCTATTAAATCAGCATTAAAGGTAAATTCTGTGAATAAACATCTTATTTTTCCATAGGCATCCTCACAGTTTTGGAGGATGTTGACCTATGGCTCAACCACCCTACCGCTTCTGGTTTTCTAACATTGTCAAGGGAATAACAGATCTGTGGGAAGTACACAGCAGAATCTGCTCCTCACAACGTTTTCCTCTGTATGACTGTAGCTAACATCGCATGGCAACAAATGCGGTAAGTACCATGAAGTTACTTCACGAGGAACAAACGTGTTGCTTGAGTGTATAGAAACCTGATTCTGGGATCCTGCTGGGAAGGAGGATTAGGGGTCTCCCGAGAGAAAGTGATTTTGCTGGTATAGGACTCTGGCCAGAGAGGCTGTAGGAAGATTTGTCAACGCACAGCAAAGACCAGGGGATCATGTGTGAGGCAGCATGGCTTCAGCTGCAGGAGGAGGAGTGGGTGAGTCACTCTTTCTAATCACTTGTACTGATGTTTTTGTTTCTAAAGACTTGTTTCTGGGGAGCCTCAGCAAAGAGGACGACCCTCCAGATAGGGAATGATTCCAGGTAGCATCTGATGGGAAAGGGTTCCCAAGGGCCTTCAGGTTATCCCTGCTGCTTGAGGGGCTAAATGAGGGGATATGAAATCAGAAACAAAATGAAAATATGTGTGAGGTCTGGTTTGCTCTTTTCAAAGTTGCTTGGCACAATGGTAAGAACTGTCTCTAGGGGCTAAAAGGGTGCTGTGTTCATAAGGGTACTTTGCAGTACGCCTGCTCTCCTCTGCCCAGTGAAACATCCAAACCTTTGGTTTGGATTAATCAGCACTCCTTGGGGTTATGCACAAGGGGATGTAGGGCTGGGCACTGAGTATCATCTGTAAAGAAAGGACTCTGGGACACAGCTCTCTTACAGGCATTTACTTGAACTTAGAGAAAAAGTTCTTCTGCTGCATGCCAAGGGGAAGCTGGTAATCGCCCTCTGAACTTTGAGGACTTTGATCTTTGGAGGATCCTCATTTTACAAAATGAGATATAAAACTAAGTGGGTACGGCACCCTCTATCTAGTCTGGGGCACTTCATTAGACCCAGAACTCTGAGTTTGATGCTGCCTATCATTTGCTTTTCCTCATGAGACCCCCTCTGACTACCTAGGCATCTCCAGCACCTTCTTTATTAGAGGCCCACAATCAACATCAAGGTCCAGAAGAAAACATCAGAGAGGGTGAGATAGAGCTCCCCTGTGAAGACATGTTCCCTGAAGACAGACCTGGTTCCTCCCTGAAATTTCTCTGACACCGTTAAGTCTACTTCTTCCTTAAGGTCACTACTCTGATTGCTAATGAATTGTTTAGACTTCTGCAGAGATCTGGGCTATTATGCATAGAATAAGTTAATATGTATTTCTTCGTGTCTGGCTGTTTTGCTCATGTCATGATTTTGAAATTCATTCAAGTAGTTAAGTGTAACTATAGTTCTTTCATTTCCTTGTTGCATAGTATTCCACTGTAGTCACATATTATAATGTAACCACTCTACTATTGATGGACATAATTCTTTCCTCCTTCCGATTCTAGGCGCTTTGGGTGGCACAGCTTAAGGTGCAGATCACACCACCCACAACCAGTCCCGAAAATGGCCCAGAAATGGTATCAAGAAACCCTGATCAAAAGATATGAATCTCTTAAGGGGGTGGACGCCAAGGTCCTGAGGGACATGCGCTTTGCCAAGAAGCACATGAAGAAGGGCCTAAAGAAGGTGCAGACCAACAATCCCAAAGCCATGAGTGCATGTGCCGAGGCTATCGAGGCCTTTGTAAAGCCCAAGGAGGTTAAGTCCAAGATCCCAAAGGGTGTCAGCCGTAAGCTCGACTGACTTGCCTACATTGCCCATCCCAAGCTTGGGAAGTGTGCTCATGCCCGCATTGCTAAGGGGCTCAGGCTGTGCTGGCCAAAGGCCAAGGCCAAGGATCAAACCAAGACCCAGGCTGCAGCTCCAGCTTCAGTTCCAGCTCGGGCTCTCAAAAGTGCCTGAGGACAGAAGGACTGGTGCGACCCCGCCCTCGGGCTGCCATCTGCAATGGGACTGGGGTCACCATGTGCTATTTGTACAAATAAACCTGAGGCAGGAAAAAAGAAAAAGAATTTCTTTTTTTTAATAATTGTGGCTACGATAAGTAATGGTGCTTTGAGTATTTTCGTCAATGGTTTTGGAATACTACTGACACTCATTTCTTTGAAGTAGATTATTAGAAGGGAACATATCTTTTATTGTCATGAATAATGGCAAATGTTTTTCAAAATCACCATGCCAATTCGTGCTCATGTAGTAGCATATGTGAGCAGACATTTCTCCAAATCCTTGTGGACTCTTAGTTTTATCTCTCTCTCAAAATTCCATCACTGGGGCTAGTCTTTCATTTGTATAGCATTTTACTTTAAAATTTTAACCAAAAAAATCTGTTTTAATCTAATGATGCAGCACAGTAGGTTTGTTTACACCAGCCTCACCACAGACACATAAGTAATGTACTGCGCTGATACTACTACAGCCATGAAATTACTAGGCAAAAGGACATTTTCAGCTTTCTTATAATCTTATGGGACCACCGTCATATATGCGGTCCATCATTGACCAAAAAATGTCATTATGCCACATACGACTGTACTTAATAAGCAGCTGCTTAAGTTATAAGAATCAAAAGGATAATTGATATAAACGGAGAATTGGATACTATATGGGCACTTCTCCATGTTGCCTCCTTGAAGCATCACAATTGCTTTGAGGCATAATTAGTTCGCTTATATTCATTACACAGATGAAGAATGTGAGTCTCAGTTCAGTAAATTATTCACAAGACACACCAAGAGCTGGATCTCTCTGACACCGAAGACCAACCTATAACCTAACATGCTGCCCTGCCTGTAGTGGTGAAGTAGACTCGCCATAAGATGAAGTTTGCTTCCGCAGCTGGGGGTGTGAGCTTAGTGGGGTTGGTGTTACCAATCATTGCTCCATGGGTTCGAAATTGGTCTTGCAGAAACCCAGATGGAGAAGCTCTTGGCTGAGGGAGTGAAAAATTACTGAAAGGATATATGAGTGCAACTGAAGGATTATGCTTCCATAGAGCGTGTTGTTGAGCCTCTTGGAGTAAGAACAGATAAACAGAATCACCCAGTCTTCGGTTGTACCATTCGGTAAGCATTGGCATGCCATGCTCAGTGCTGTGTTGCTGGGACATAAAATACATCTCAGGCACAGCCCCCCGGAAATGGACCATTTTAAAATGCACTGGGAAGCAATGACTAATATGAGTGTCCCAACGATCAAGTATAAAACATAGTAAGCCATTGTGTTTTAGTTGTGCGCTAGTGATAAATATTAACATTAAAAAAAGACTGGCCAAGTCCATCTTAATTCTTGATAATGGCATCCAAATAAAATAAACTTCAGGAGCTGGTGGAATATACTATTTAATATTAGCAATTATACCTCTAAATAAGTGTATATTCTTTACTTAGAAATTTAATTTTAAATTTGGGTATTCAGGTTAGTTCTTTTTGATAAGTAAACTCTTATAAAGTAAGGAAATAGTTTTTTTTCTTTTAGAAATATGCCACATCTTACACACCAAAGTGAATGTCGTTCTTCAAATAAGTCACTGTGGGAACCCATGCACACAGAATTTTTAGTTTTAATTTTCAGTAAACAAAAGGGGGCCCAAAGAAGTAATGGTCACCTTCGGTTTCTCACTTCCACTCCCCAGAGACAACTAATATTAAACATTTTTGTGTATATCCTTCCAAAGATATTCTTCCCATATATAAACCTTTTAAAATGTATAATATGTATGCATTTAATAGAATCATAACAGTTACAGCCTTTTTTTTTTTTTTTTTTTTTTTGTAACCACTGGTACTGGATCATAGATTTCCATGTCAATGAATGAGATCAATTACATCCTTTTTCACTTTGTATTTGTAATAAGTGTTTTACTGAAAAGTGCACAAATCACAGTGCAAAGACAGATGAAATATCACAAAGTGAACACACGCTGGTGAGCAGTACCAGGTCAGGAAAGGACATATTGTTTTCTTCCTTTCCCAACTTTCAACTTTGTTTCTTTTTCTTGCCTTGTTACACTGGTCAGGATCTTTAGTGTAGCTTTGAGTTGAAGTGGAGGCATCAGGCCTTCTTCCCCCATCCCCAGTCTTAGTGGGAGAGCTCTGAGTATTTCAGCACTAAATATTTAATGTCAGTTTTTTGTAGCTACCATTTGTCAGAGTAACAAAGTTTCCTTCTAGTCTTGGTTTGCTAAGATTGTTTATCACAAATGGTTTTTTAATTGTATCAAGTATCTTTTTCTACCTCTACTGAGAGGATTACATTGTATTTTTCCTTTTCTCTGTTGATGTTGAATTATACTGACTTGGTTTTAAACACTAATTCAATCTTGCATCCTTGGAATAAGCCCAGCTTTGTTGAGACACCACAAATTATTCTCCCAAGTGACGACGACAGCTTACATTCTCAGCCACCTATGAGAACATGTTTCCTAACTGCCCTAGCCAACACTTGATGTTTTAAGACTTTAAAAATATTTTCCCATTTAATAGATTAGAAATTAGATACAGTCAACCAAGCTGGATATTACTTTGTAAAAAAAAAAAAAATGTTTTTAGACAATGATAGAAAAAAGAAAGGAAAATAGTTCCTGTGTTCTATGTGGGATTATGGGAGAAACTGCTTTTAAATACAGGATTTCTTATGAAGTTATTTAGGCAATAAGTAAAAATGGAAGGGAAACTTGACAACAGAGAGTTGCCTGTGGATTCAGACAGTGGCAGGCCTGGAATGCACCAAGGACCACCAGTTCCCAAGGGCAGTCAGTTCAGTGACAGCATCGCTAATTACCTGATCAGCACCCCAGTAGCACATGGAGAGGACAGGGAGGCCCAAGATGAGTGCAGGCCAGGAGAGGTCTCCAGTGATGGGATGTGGCTTGGTGGTCCTGTTTCCTTTGCCAGTCTTACTTGGTACGGCAGAGAGGTACATATGCAGCAGCCCCTGATGTCCTTCCACTTCCCTAAAGGCTTACATGCACCGAGATGTTTATCAGGCTTTTAAAGAGCACAATAGCACGTGACTGAAGAACCAAGATTGCAAAGAAACGCCTCGTTTCCTGGAAACGTTTCCGGTGGGGAAGTGGTGAGGATCCACTGAGGTG